AGGTTGGACTGTGGGTCGCCAGATCGGTCTCGTGTCAATTTGGTGGTTCCAGACGCTGTTCGATTCATGTGAGCATTTTGATTTCGGTTTGACCCGAATACGAGCATATTGACGCGTGTCAACAGGTAGGCTAAATGCATTTCTCTAGTGAAATGCTGCCACGTGTCACTCACGAGCTCCGCCATGCTCCTTTGTAAATTAGGCGGCTCCGCCATGCTCCTTTGTAAATTAGGCGACTTGTGAATTAGGCGACTTGTGGCAGCAATTAGGCGACTTGTGAATTAGGCGACTTGTGGCAGCAATTTTCTCTCTCATGTGTGTTTTCAATTTTCGAAAAACTCACGTTTTCTATTTTTGACTATTTCACCCGAACTCCAATTAAGTTCTAATTTTGGTTCGGGATTCCTTCAAGAAACCTGTGTAAATCCTCTTTTAATTACACACCTCAAAACTCCTTAGATCTAGGCAAAATTGAAACGAAAAGGTCAGTCTTACCTTGTCCATTCTCGAATTTTCTTACTGGAATGGGCGAATCCACCACCCAAACTCCTCCTCTAGCACCAAAAGGAGTCTTGATTCGAAGTTTCTTGCCTTGGATTTGATCTCCAACGGTGGATTTGAGGCAGCCGGTTTCTCTGTTCTTCTTTTCTTTCAAAATCCTACCTTCTTCTTATCCCTTCTACTTTTCCTCTCCTTTCTTTCGCTTTCTTGTTATGACTCAACTATCCAGACTCCTCAGGTAGGAGGAGGGGCAAAATGACATTGTCCCTATGTTGATCTCGTCCATTTTTTTTAATCTTACAACCATCTCGATCATAGTTTCCTTCTTCGTCGACTCGAGCCTCGGTCTCTTCAGCCTACAATAAAAAATCACGACCTAATTATCATGCATATATTTGGATCTTAAGTAGGAAAACAAAGGTCGTTCATACCTCCTAAGTTCAAGTGTTACAAAAAATAACATAGTATTTGAATACAAAAATTAAAAGTCACCTATCAACTACTAAATGAAGTCAATGCATACTACTATCCTATCTTGATTTCCATGGCCATTCTAACATTTATTGTCATCCGTGCAGTGGTACTTTCTCAGTAATGACCCTAAATTTATACTAACCTAAAGTGGCTAATGTCATCATAGCATACTCTCTTATGCGAAAATAAACATTTAAAACTTCATCATAAAACTCGCCTTAAACTTACATGCTTGAAAAAATATTTAAAGTAACATAAAAAAACTAAGTAAAACTAATAAAATAGTAAAATTAAAAACATCCTATACTAACCCAAAGTCTAAGAAATGAAATACCACTATCTTATGCATGTGTCACGGTCTTTACTTGCAATGTCATCATCAACCGTATAGAGGCGTCTTGCCTTTACCTGAAATAAATGTAGCACACGACTTTAGTATTTTAAGAAATGATCAGTAAGTGACCCCACTTGAGATCAAACACATAAACCATCACATGACAATCAAACAAAATCGAGGGATCTTAGTGGTTAATTACCCTAAATTCACAATGCGTAATTTTTACCACATGAAAATCAACATCTACCTTTACTCCTTAAAATGACTATCAATGGTTGGTTACCCGAAACACATAGCGTGTAATCCTTGCCTTGGAAATCATTTACTGCAATCACTCTGTAGAGTGACCATTAGTGCTTGGTTACCCGATACACACAGCGTGTAATCTTACCACATGAAAATCAACATCCATCCTAACTCCTTAAAATGATTATCAATGGTTGGTTACCCGAAACACATAGCATAAAACCCTGACCTTGATAACCATTTTCTTAAATCACCTCGTAGAGTGACCATTGGTGGCTGATTACCTAAAACACACAGCGTGCAACCCTAACCGCAACCTCCTTAATCATCAAAGGTAACATGCATGCATTACATCCCAAACGGTTTATTTTCATGAGCAACCATACATTATGTCACACAACTCACATCAGAGATATTCTCAATCATCAATGTAATTATGCATGCAATAGGTTTCAAAACTTTTATTTTTATAGTCAACATACATCTTATCACACAACACTCAACCATACAATACAAAACATATTCAACCCTTATAGAAAAACAAAACAGTTAAGTTTCCATAGGAAGACCTCTTATTGGTCCAACTTCGACTTAGATCGAACCTACACTTATGCACCCAAGTTTAACCAACCCAACTTGAGTGGTACAACGACTCCTACAAATCATAGGATTTTATTGCTTGCATTCTTCCTACGTAGAGGTTGGGTCAAATCTGAACTATTCAGAAAAGAAACCACATTGTAACTTCGTTGGTTGGCGCATTGTACCTTGGTTACGTCTACTCCTCCAAATAGTGGTTCTGGCGATGATGACAGTGTTCAATTCGTGATGACGACGACAATTTGATACGCGACAGCGATTGGCGGTGGTCGTCCAACATGCGGTGACGATGCGGGATGCTCGTCTCAGGCTTCGTGCTCGCTCGTCTCAAGCTTTGTGCTCTATTACATGGGTGGCTGATTTGGTGGCTTTATGTTGCTGAACCCTAGGATTTTTTTTTTTTATGTATTGGGCTTGGGCCTAGGGTTTATGTAGCTAAACCGTAGGGTTTATTTTAATGGATTGAGCCTTGGGCCCAGAGGGCTTTACGCATCCAACCATGTCTGGAATTGGAAAGAGTCCAAGGTCAAGTCACGGTTTTAAAGGATATGTCCCATCATTAAATGTGTGTATTGCATTACTAATCCCAACAATGGGGTAACTTATTTTGTATTTCTTAAAATATTCAAGCCACATGCTACCCTTATTTTTCACGTAAAGGTAAAGCGCCCCTGCATAGATAACATGAATTCTAAAATGACCATGGAAGAAATCATGATAGAGAAGTGGTATGCATTGATTTTCATTTAGTAGTTGATAGGATGATTATTTCACTTTTCATGTTCAACGATTATGTTAGTTCTATTTTCTTGTTTTAAATTCAACATGTAAGTTCATGGCTTCATTTGCAAATATTTTATTTCAAACTTCTACATATGTTATTTATGGCATTCATGTGATGTTGCCTCTAATTTAAGCAAGAATATTAGGGGTGTTACATTACGAGTGTGATATGTGATCAAAGAATGAGGGTTGTCCTGCATGATTTATTACACCACGAAAAAATATATGGGGACCTCATGCATATTTGTATGTTCACGTGCACCGGGATACTTCCCCTTTATGATGAAGTATGGACGTGTACACTATGAGACGAAAATGATTATCATGCTGACCATAATATGACTAAGGTATGTCCATGAAATGATACGACTATGAAATGTATAAAGACGATGAGGCTATGACAAGATTAACAAAACGATAGGACAGGGATACGCATATGGAAACGATATGAGTATGAAATGTTGTGATACGATATGAAAATGATATGATATATGTTATGGTACGATATATGTGATAAATTGATATGTTTATGTTATGAAATATTGTGATACAATATGTTATGGTATGATATGTATACGATTCGAAATGTTATGTCTAGAAATATTGAAATGTTATGATATGGCATATGTATGTAATATGATTGACATGCAAACTGATGAACTAGCATGAGATACCACCTCGACATAGACATGAAAGATATGTTATGAAGGAAGATGCTAGCGAGATTGTATTAAATGATAATGAAAATTGAAAAACGTTGGGACCTTATACATTATTGTGTGCTCGTGCATTGGGGGATACCCCTTATCCTTCTCAATAGTACAGACGCATACGCTACGAGACAGGAGAACGATCATTATGTTAACATAATGCTGTCGTGATGATCACTATTCGTAACGGGTGTCTAACATCAACAACCACTAGAGAATTCTCGCCCCATAAAAAAGGGACCTAGGAGGCGTGCGAATTGACTGGTGGGTCAATACTCACACGTATGAACCGTGTGTAGGAAAATTAAGTACACATCCCAATTGCCCGTTATGATGGCCATCGCAGGAAAATAGACTGTTATGATAGATCTCTTCCATGAAATTGTATGTGTTATCATTTAACCCCAATAGTGGGGTCACTTACTGAGTATTTCTTAAAATACTCAAGCCACGTGCTACTTCTATTCCAGGTAAATGCAAGGCATCCCTGAATGGCTGACGACGACATCACAACTCGAGACCATGACACATGCGCATAGGGTATCCCCATTTATTTTCTTAGACTTAGCCAATTAGCAATTGAGTTACGAAATAGACATCTTGGAATAGTAAGCAGACATCAAAACGCCAAAAAGAGAGGGCAAGGAACAATGTCAAGCAATAAAATTGAGAAGTGGGGAAGAAATACCCTACAGAAGAGGTGAAATTAAAGAACGCATTAACAATCACTCGGCTAATACATAATAGAGAAAGGAGGAAAATGTTGGACAAAAGAAGCAGGCTCGAACACAAAAATGAAGAGCGTAGTAGCATTAAATGAAGAGTGTAGGTGAATGAAATGGTAACGTACACAAAAATTAGAGAAACTTACATACCTACCAGGCTCGAACATTACAATGTAGGTGAACGAAATAGCAACGTACACAAAAATAAATAAATAAATAAAAAATGCTAGTTCAACTACATGTTACTACAATCTTGAACACTTGTGAATTTTTGTATTTTTTTTAATTAATTAATGTTGTTGATAATTATATAAGGTGAACCATTTATCTTGTATCAATTGAATAACTTCTCTCTCAAATTATCTAATACTTTAGCAATTTTTTCTATTTTTTTTATAGCATCTATTATAATTACACAAAAAATAATAATAAAAAGTCTCGAACTTGTAATAACGTCAACCATCAAGATCTTAAAAAAAAAAACATTATAAAAAACATTCTATAGCGTTTTGTTTGGGTATAATTTTTACTTGTATAAACAAAGTAGAGAGAAAGCTCAAACATATACAAACAAACCACCATCCTTGCCAACATGAATGGTAGCTAACACAATAACAAACATAAACCACAACCAAGGTGCAAATGACGATGATCACAATGATGGCGATGGGGTCGTGCTGGTTGTAGGAATCGGGAAAAGACGAAACGTGGATGCGAAAATCATTCGGTTGGTGATTGCACAAAATGGCAAAGTATGAAGTTCATGAACGGGCCACAACAGCGCTGCCAATTATATATTCTAGGAGGATGTTGCCCGCTGCGATGAATGCCACGAAGTCTCCTAGTTCTACCCTTAGGTAGGCGAATGATCCACTTGAACAAGTAATTACATCGGGCTCGTGTGGTTAGTAATTTAGAAAAAAATTAAAAGAGAATCTAGAATAATTTTAAATTTGGATTATTGTAAAAGTGTTTGGAATTCAAAATATTTTTACCCTAGATATTTTATACTTCTTTGAATTCAAAATCTAAATTTTGTTTCAACCAATTAAGATCTCGTAATAAAAATTTCAATACAGTATCACCTCATGTCATTATCTCTACACAAAAATAAGACCCACTTCCTTAAAGAAAGGAAAAAAAAAAAAAAAAATTAATTAACAAGATAACAAGAGCACATGTTAGAGAACTTTTTAAATTTTTTTTAAATATTCAAAATACTATTGTAAGTACACAATTTAAAAATACTCATGCACCTAACATTAATATTCTTAACTATAAAATATATATAAATTACTATTAGTACTCTTACGATTAAAAAGGGAGATAATCTATAAGAAATATATATACCGTCTCCATTCCTATATAAGTTTAAAAATATTTTTGAATTTTTTTTTATAAAAGTTAAAAGGTATAATTCTTTTCAAAGGACGGAGAGAATCTCTAATGAAATTTAAACTATAGTCAAGAGGGAGAAAAGAATTAGTAAACCTTAATTCATTAATTTAAAAAAATAAAATAATTAATAGAAAATTAATATATCATCGAAAAAATACAAGAATAAATGTATAAATTTTTATAACAGAGTCAAAATAGAAATTAATTTAAAAAAAATATATAATATTTTGACGACAAATAGAGACCAAATAGAAAAATGCACGTACCAGCTGTTGGGATCTCCACGGCAAATTCAGTGTAACAGAAGACTGAAAGCATGGCGAAGACGTCGGAGGCAACATGAGACAAGACGACAGCTGGGCCGGCGTGTTTCTTAGTCTCAAGACCGGTGAGGACGAATATTCCGGTGCCGATGACAGCGCCGATACCGAACCACATAAGGTCCCACCATGTGAGGCTCTTCTTCATCTCGTGCTGGTTGCGAGCCTTCATCTCGACGAGCTCAATGTGCTCCCCGGACCTGGCCGTGAGCCGATCCAAGAGCCGGGCCGGCGTCGCCTTCAACGCTTTGGTGTAATTTCCCCAACTCTTAAACGACTCCTCTGGTAGAAAATCTTGCTTCGAACAACCACAAGATTTTCTTCTGATCCCTTCTCCACCACCGGCGTCACTGTTTGGTTGACCCATTATGAATTCACACTGAAACAGTCAACCAAAAAAAAATCTAATCGAGAATCAAGTAACTTAAGACAAGAAGGGAGAATAAGAAAGGAAAAGGGGGTTTATAAAGGAAGCAGAGACGACTGGTGACAGCTGGTAGACACAATGGTTTGAATCTGAGAGGAAACTGACATGTGGAAGTTAATTTGGCAGTCACATTTGTGGTATCAAGCTATGGTTTCTAAATTTAATCATCTCAACTGCTCACTGCTACACACTTCTCAACTCCAAATCATTCTCAATTGGATCCTCAATCATTTTGCTGATTTAGTGTTGTCTCATCGTAATTATATTCTAATTAAAGTTAAATTTTAAAACTATTCTCCTAAAACTAGATTTGGTTAAATGGACGGAGGGTTAACTTCAAACAATACCGTTTTACTTAGGGTACAATTATATATAAAAATATTTATTTAACTTCATAATTAATTTACTCAGTAATTTAAGTATTATAATTAGTATGTAGTTTAATAAAACTCTACAAAATAGTCTCTATGGTCAAGATTAATCGTGAGGATTTTATAATATTCTAATATTCCAATACTCTACTTGCATGAAATCTAACACATGGACCATTGTACAATGTAGAGAATTGAACTTGAAATTGTTGTCATAGGTTCCCATAGTTGACTGGTAAGTGGTTCCCCATAGTTCTGCACGTGTCATGTGCTTGATATGTGTGAAATGTGACACATGCTCCATAGTTCTGCACGTGTCATGTGCTTGATATGTGTGAAATGTTTATGAAATGATGTGATGCGTTTGACGATATGTTTGAGATGTGTTACGTGAATGATATAATATATGTTATGATATATGTTATGTACCATGTGTTTAACGATATGTTTGAGATATGTTATTTCTAATTTCTTGTCTTAAATTAAACGTGTTACGTGAATGATATAATATATGTTATGATATATGTTATTTCTAATTTCTTGTCTTAAATTAAACGTGTAAGTTCATGGCATCATTTGCAAATATTGTATTCAAAAAATGTCATGAAGATTCAAAAGAAATATGTCAACAACAGAATTCAAACCTACGCGCAGAGAGCTCAATTAATTTCAAACCTATCGCATTAGCCACTCAAACACATCAACATTTGTTAGAAAGAATTATGTTTAATTTCATAAATTATGTAAAAGTCAAACAATCAATTTGACTTATTCTTTGTAGAGATTAAAGAGGATCGGGAATAAATCCCGTCCACAAACGTCTCAAATAAATCTCGTCCACAAACGTCTTTTGTCAGGAGACTATAAATACCCACAATATGTTATGTAAAATTCAGATTCGTGGATGAATGTAATTCAGATCTCAAATTGATACGTTTCCCTTAGAAATCCGAGCATCATATTTTCCATTTCTAAGTTTCAAGCAATTCTTGTGGTAGAATTGCACCCGAGCCATTCAATCAAGCCTTGATCAAGTTAGATTGTGGAGTGACTCAATTTAGAACAAGGTTTCCAAATCTTGCTTCTAGATCTTCGATCGTAAGAGGTAATCTAATTCTAGCTTTATCTCTTGGTTGATCCAAATTTGGTATAAGGAGGTGTTAACTACTTTGATTCAAGGGTTCTTGCTTCAACATAAGCTTGGATCGTTGGGCTGAGGATTAGGGTTGCTTTATCAGTTTGGTATCAGAGCATAGGTTGCATCTTTATGGCCGACTCTAGAATTGATTTTATCTTTAATTTCTGCTATTGTTTATCGTTTCTTTAAATCTGTCATTTATTTTCTTACTGTCATTTCCAATGTTCTTCGTTATCTTTCTACTTTGTTCTTAGTGTCCTGTTAAAGATCATATTTAGATCTTGAAAGAAAAAAAAATACTTATCATATTGTTCTTAATAAATCCTTATCATTAGACCATTTGCACGTTTATTTGAAGATCAAATAAATTTCAATTCTCATTTTTCCCTAAAGCATATAAATCTAGAATTGTTGTGTTCGATCTTCACGACCATTCTTTGTCCCCTATTTATTTGTTCATTTCTTGTTTTATTTTGTTGTTACTACATAATTACCTTGCCTTGATTGTCTTGAATAGCTCGCTACTATCAGAATTGCTTTATCCATATTACCTACCTTGATCAGAAATTAGTCACTTTCCTAAATAGCCTACCTTTGTGTGTTAAACACGAGTGTTCCTGAGTGTAAAATCAGTGAGTTGAGTGTGTGAGGTCCTAAGCATATAAAACTATTGTTTGTACAATCATGAACCTAGACGAGAAAAATGGAGGGGAGATCAATGATCTAGTTGAAGAAGTCCAGAAGAATGAGGAGAAACTAGAAGATGGTATTCATTTGGCACTTATTACAAGAAGACTTCTTAAAACTCAAGTTATGAAGAATGATGTTGATGATCAAAGAGACAACCTATTTCACACGCGGTGTTTAGTCAAGGGAACTGCTTGTAGTCTTATCATTGATAGTGGAAGTTGCACCAATGTAGTAAGTACTATGTTGATCAAAAGGTTAGCAAATTTCAACTCAAGATCTTACAAGCTTCAATGGCTCAATGATAGTGGAACAATGAAGGTAATTTTCCAAGCTTTAATATCTTTTACTTTGGGAAAATATAAAGATGAAGTTCTTTGTGATGTATTACCAATGCAAGCTGGAGATATATTGCTTGGCTGACCATGGCAATTTGACAGGAGGGTTATGTATGATGGCTATTTGAATAGGTATTCTTTTGTGAAATATGGTAGAAAAACCACTCTTGTACCTTTGAGTTCTGCGAATGTATTTGCTGATCAATTAAAGTTGGAGGAAAGAAAGAAAGAGTTTGAGGAAAAAGAATTGAAAGAAAAACCAGAGTTGAGTGAAAAAGTAGAGAAAAATCAAAGAGAAAAAAAGAAGAATGAAAAAAGAGATGAAATTGAAAAAAGAAAGAGAGATAGTTATTAGGCTACCGTTCGAGAGGTGAGAAGGTTTTCACAAAAATCAATCTTTGTACTTGTGTACAATGGAGGATTTTTGGTCTCTAACTATAACAACTTGACTTTGCCTAGTGTTTTTCTATCTCTTTTACAGAAATTTGAGGACATGTTTCAATATAAAGAAATACCTCCCATTAGAGGTACTGAACATAAACTAGACTTCATTCCAAGGACTGTCATACCTTATAAGCCAGCTTATCGAGTCAATCCAACCGAGACAAAAGAAATTCAAAGGCAAGTGGAGGAGCTCATGGAGAAGGGCTATGTACCAGAAAGTTTGAGTCCATGTTCTATATGAGACTTATTGGTGCCAAAGAAAGATGAAATTTGGCGCATATGCATGGATAATAGAGTCATCAACAAAATCACGATAAAGTATCGACATCCTATTCCTAAGTTAGACGATATGCTTGATTTATTGCATGATTCGTGTCTATTTATAAAAATTATTTTGAAATCTGGATTTCATCCAATTAGAATGCATGTAGGAGATGAATGGAAAACAACTTTCAATATTAAGTTTGGATTGTATGAATGGCTTGTTATGCTTTTTGGGTTAACTAATGCTCCTAGTACACTTATGCGCTTAATATATAATGTTTTGATAAAATATATAAGAAAACATGTTGTTGTTTATATTGATGATATTATAATTTATTTGAAGATTTTGCTTGAGCATGTGGAGCATGTTAAATTAGCTTTGATTACACATAGAAAAGAGAAATTTAATTTTAATGAGGGTAGTTTTTGCATGGAAAAAGTTCACTCTATTGACTTCATAGTTGATAAAAGTAGAATAGCATTAGATAGAGACAAAGTTAAATTCATTATGGATTTGCCAACACCCAAGAGTGCACGTAAAGTTCGGAGTTTTCATGAGTTAGCTAACCTTTATAAGAGATTTATAAATGATTTTAGAATCATAACTGAACTATTGAATGACTTAGTGAAAAAGAATGTTGTTTTTAAATGGGGAGGAAGGCAAGAGAATGCATTCAATTTGCTTAGGAATAAATTAAGCAATGCATTATTATTTGTTTTGCCTAGCTTTTATAAAACTTTTGGAATTGGATGTGATGCATGTGGTTTGGTCATAAGTGTTGTTTTAATTCAAGATGAAAAGTCGTTAGTATATTTTTAGTGAAAAACTAAATGGGGCAACATTGAAATACCTACCTATGATAAAGAATTGTTTGTAGTTCATATATTGCATGTGCCGCAACACTACTTATAGCCTAGAGAATTTGTGATCCACTTTGATCATGAAAACTTAAAGTATGTGAAGGGTCAAAGCAAACTGAACCGTAGACATGCAAAGTGGTTGGAATTTATTGAAATATTTTCGTATGCCATCAAGTGTAAGCAAGGTAAGGATAATACAGTAGCTCATGTGTTATCTAAAAGGTATGATCTCTTTACTTCTCTTACTGCAAAAATTCTTAGAGTTGAGCATATTATTGAATTATATAGAGATGACTAAGACTTTAGAACTATTTATGCATCTTGTCTTGAAAAAAAAGTGGTGGATGATTATTACGTGTTTCATAAATTTTTAATTACTAAGAGTATGCTTTGTATTCCTAAATGCTCTATAAAAGATTTGTTTTTGAGAGAAGCATATGGTGGTGCCTTAATGGGACATCTTAGGATGAATAAAGTTTATAAGATGTTGCATAAACACTTTTGTTGGCCGAAGATGAAGCATGTGACAGATAGATTTATGGATGATGCAAAAGAACCTATTGCCAAGAAGATTGGTGATAAAAATCACGGCGTTCCAAATGAACCTGTTGCCAAGAAGATTAAAAAAATGTCTATCGCATTAACCACTCAAGCACATCAACACTTGTTACAAAGAACTATGTTTAATTTCATAAATTATGTAAAAGTCAAACGGTTAATTTGACTTATTCTTTGTGGAGATTAAAGGGGATCGGGAATAAATCCCGTCCACAAACGTCTTTTGTCGGGAGACTATAAATACCCACAATATGTTATGTAAAATTCAGATTCATGGATGAATGTAA